AATCCTTTCTCCAATTTGATAGGTTGTCTTGCTTTGTGGACTTTGATGCGCAGAAGTTTTAAATTTTGATGTCCAATATACCAGTATTTGTTTATTTCTTTTGTTGCCTGTGCTCTTGGTTTCGTATTTAAGAAATCATTGACAAATCCTGTCATGAACCTTTCCCCCTGTGTCTTCTTTTAAGAGTTTTATAGTATTAGTTCTTAGGTTTTGAGTTAATCTCTATATGTGGTGTGAGGTAAGGAGAAGGGTACACCTTCATTCTTTTGTATGTGGATAGCTTATGTGTGTGTGTGTTTAGAAAACGATAATGTTTTATTACTAGCCACAGAAGGGGCCTGCATGGGGTGGTGGGTGCGCTGGGCTCAGAGTATGTGTGGTCTGAGGAGATGATGATCTGGAGACTGGAAGGAAAGGGGAGTGGGTCACAGGCTAGCTCCAAGGTCTCCTTAGATATACCACTGGGAATGGGTAAAAGAGTCATGGCAGGTTCCACAAGGCCGCTAATAAGATTAAGAAATTCTTGGAAATCTAGCTGCCCGTCACAGTTGAGGCCCAATTTCTTCACCATGACATCAAAGTCACAGGTCCATCTGGTTCTTTGTGAAGGGAGCCAGTTCTATCTTCATGAAGGTTAGGAACTCAGTCTTGGAGAGTGTGTAGCTGTTAACCACCCTTTTCAGCATGAATCTGGGAAACAGCAGCCAGAGACTCCATGTACCACTTGGTCTCTCCAGGGCTGGACATGTTGGAGCAGAGCGAGGCACAGAGGCCGTGAGGAGGAGTGGTGCCTATGTGTGGGTATCTTTTACATTTAATTTTCCACTGTGTGAGAGAAGATACGTGGCTGTAAGTGATGGAAAACCCAATATGAGCTAGTATAAACGTAATGGGAAATTTATTAATAGGAAAAATTTATTTGATTTTTTTTAATGGATTTGATTTTTTAATTGAGCTTAAGAAGTTAAATAGTCAAGTTGCTGGAAGGCCTGGTGCAGCTGGGTCACAGAGAAAAAAGCCAGTGTCTGAAACACAGCCAGAGCCCTTTGCTGTTGTCGTCTACTTCTTTCTTCTTTTGGTGGGTTGGCTTTATTCTTTCAGTAGAGGCTGGCTTTCTTCATTTGGCAGAAAACGTAGTCACCAACAGTGCCAGATTTATGTCTCAGATTCAGCTCTCTTACTGGCCTCAAAGCTGAATCGAGTCCAAAGACTTAAAAACTCCAGGAAGAGAACTCTTGGCCCAGCTAGATTCAGTTTTCTATCTCTGGATCACTTAACTGAGGCCCACAAATAGGGCCTGGCAATTCCTAAGCCTGATAACTGTTAGATATAGGGAGAGCTTTAGAAAAGAGGTAAGAGCTAGTCTCGTGTATCTAATATTACCCTTCTGCTAGAAGATATAGATAGTATGATTTGTATCCCGTTTTACAAATAAATGTGATATTGATCACCTGTTAAATAGTAATTAGAACTCAGAGTGCCTCAACTGTTGATAGGTTGAAACTCTATAGAGATGATTTTCAGCCTTTAAATTTTTTTGAGATATCCTATACTGATATATATAAATAACACTGTAATCTTTGGAGAAGCTCATTACATTTAGGAACCTTCTCAGACCACTGAAGAAACAGTGTTAATTCTCTGTATCCAGAGTGCATGATCCTAAGGTACTTAGAAAACATGGATGAAACACATCAAAAGTACCAACATATCTATGACATCTATTACAATTTCTATAATATGTATTGTATGCATATAAAACTTTGTTTCAGTTAATTCCTGATTTATAACACCCTGTTAAAAAAGCATGCCTTATGTATAAACTGCTATTATAATTGGTTACTTGGAGAATCTCTGGGCATAGAAGAGAGGAAAAGTTTCTGGGGGAAAAAATAGCCTAGGGAAACCGCTACTATGGGACAGAGAGATGAATTGTCTAACATATTTCTATTTCAGGAGCAACCCAAATGCTTCACACTTGCATACAGGGTGTAGGGCAAAAGTAGGTATACAGTTGTGAGTACATGAAACACAGTTTATTCTGTGTTATTATTTATTAATTGTTGTATTATTTGCCATATGAACAACTGTAAACCTACTTTTGCCCCACCCAGTATTTAAGGCAAATCAGTCTGAGATTTATTTGACTTAATAAGCATATTATGTTAAAAATGCAAAGCAGGGATTTGTGGGTATTATTAACCATTCAAACCTTGATATGAATTTTTGATGACTTTAGACTTTTCTTAGAAGGCCCAACTGAGATCAGCTGCTTTGAGAGATAAATTTTTTTTGTACGATTTTATAATTAAAAAACATACTACACAAACAGTATGTGATCATTGTGACACATTTAATTTCAAGTCCTTTCCCAGATTCTCTCCCTAGAAATGAGTACGAAATAATTTGTTGTGTCTTCTTTCAGAACATGTTTTCCTAGGATACAAATTTTGACTTGGTGGAATACAAGAGGAACATTTTGGAACATGCTATTGTTTTCTGTTGGCAGGATTGGCTTGGATGGATTCTTTAGTGGCTTGTGTATTGTTTTTGAAGGCTCTGGAGACAGGGTTTGGGGAGAGTTGCTAATAGATGGGTGACTTTTACATAAAGAAAGGCAAGAGTAATTAAAAAAAATTGTTGAGAACTAACTGCATGGTCAAAAGGTAAAGGTAAATTTCCTTTCTTTCCCTTTCTCTCCCTCCTGTGATTCATGTGCTCTTCCTCCCAGAGCTAGAGTTCACATTAGTGTTGTTTATGCTGTAGTTAAGATATGTTAAGGCTTTCGGTTAACCTATGACTATGGTTGTCATGATTTTTTCCAGTGTCAGAATCTCAGCTCAGATTGGTTTAAGCAGAGAAAGAAATTCATTGGCTTGTGTGACTATAAAGTTCAGGTACCTGGGTTTTCAGAAAGTGTTAATTTTTCTCCTTTTGGTTTTGCTTTCCTCTCTGTTGATTAAATTTCCAAGTAGGCTTTTCCCACATGGTGACTCTAGGATTATACTTATCATTTTAACTTCAGCAGAAAGAGAACATGTCTACCCTAGAATTACAACACAAATTTTGGGATTGACTTCTATAGTCCTGGTCCCTGGTCCCTGATTGGTTTGTTATCATGCAAATGAGGACCCCAGATCCTCACATTTTGGTCCAGAAAGCACTATTCTGATTGGTCTGTGAAGATGTACAGCTCCGATCGGATGGTGAAAATCTCAGTCTTATTGGTTGAAATATATTCTAGGAACTCCTTTATAATAAGGGTTGGTTCAGCTAGCAGAACTCGGGGCAGGTTTTTCCCAGAAACACATCTTGCATGAGAGGCCTCTGTTTAGAAATGGCTGCTAGGATCCATTTTTAAATTTGAGTTCAAAAAGTCCTTCTTAACAGGTATATTCATTCTCAGGGTCAACAGAAGCTTTTTCAAAAAAAGTATTTGTATTGATTTCAGAGAGGAAGGGAGAGGGAGAGAGAGATAGAAACATCAGTGATGAGAGAGAGTCATTGATTGGCTGCCTCCTGCATGACCTCCTACTGGTGATCAAGCCTGAAACCTGGAATTGAACCTGACCTCCTTGTTCATAGGTCAATATTCAACCACTTAGCCATGCCAGCTGGGCTTTTAAAATTTTTTATTTTTATTTTTTATTGTCCTCACACATGCTGACTCACATTTGTATCTTGATCCAAGAAGTTTCTTTAGAGTTCCAGTTTTTGTTACATTTTTTAATTGTATGTTTTTACTTAGCTTTTCTATAGGAGCATTCAGCTTCAAATAAGAGTCATACAAAAAGAAGTTTGGAAATGGGATTCTAAAGCTTAGTGATTATCAGGGCATTCTTGTGAATTTCTTGGTCTTCCACTCATGATTGAAAGATGTTGCATTAGCTTCAGTCATCCTGTCCTCACACATCTATATCCAATGCATTAAAAAAGTGTGAAGAAGCCCTGGCTGGTTTGGCTCAGTGGATAGAGCATCGGCCTGTGGACTGGAGGGTCCCGGGTTCAATTCTGGTCAAGGGCACATGCCTGGGTTGCAGGCTTGATCTCTAGTAGGAGGCATGCAGGAGGCAGCCAATCAGTGATTCTCTCATCATTGATGTTTCTGTTTCTCTCTCTCTCTCTCTCTCTCTCTCTACCTCTCTCTCTCTCTACCTCTCTCTCTCTCTCTCTCCCTTTTTCTCTGAAATCAATAAAAATATGTTTTAAAAAATAGTGTGAAGAAGAGGCTTCTTCTTGTGTAATATATTCCCCCTTTTATTATAAAAATTATCACAAAAAGTTAAGTAAAAGTCAGTAAATAGAATCTATAGGACTTAAACACCTTACAGTGGGAGAAACTTGATAAAGTGTAGGATGATTGCCAAATTTTTGTGAATGTGAGGGTTATATTCACTTGAATATGCTGTATATGTACAATTCTGGAAAACTATGTAAGGAAGGCAGGGGCAATTTTTTCCCCCATTTTCTCCCCCTTCTGCCTGCAGTGCAAGTGTGTTTCTCTCCTAAGGAGGTGAGGGAGTACTTCTTTTTTATTTCTTTTATTTTTAAAAAATATTTTTATTGATTTTTTTTTTTAAGTGAGAGGAAGGGAGAGGGAAAGAGAGAGACATCCATCAGCCACCTCCTGCATGCTCCCTACCTGGGATTGAGCCTGCAACCCAAGCATGTGCCTTGACTGGGAATCGAACTGATAGTCTTTCAGCCCCAGGGAGGATGCCAACCAACTGAACCACCCTGGCCAGGGCTCTTTTTTTATTTGATTGCATAATCAACCAACTTGTTACAATTATACTTATATAAACACAGAAATAACATTTCTTTCTACAGGTGTATTTTTAAAAATATAAGCAATGATTATATGTTAATGATAGTAGATATCATGTTGCTCTTAATTGTTTTATATCATTAAATTATTTAATGAAATTGGAAACCTTTAGAATATTTCAATTTCAACAACAGTATGTCTTATAAATTTTTTAAAAATCTTTTTCCTATAGAAATTTGGTTAAGAAGTACTGTCCCAAACGTTCCTCCAAAGATGAAGAACCAAGGTAAATTATATACCTGTTTATTATTGCATATTAAAAAATTTAAAAACGCTTTTTTTTGGTAAAGTAAACATGCTGTTAGCTTTTCATAAAGATTTTATAAAGTTTGTCTTAAAAAAATCAATGTTTATGAAGGGGAACTACTGTTATTTCTATAAGAATGAATACTTTAATATTGAGACTTGATAATAGTTATCTAGAATAGTTGATGTGTGGGTTTCTAAGTAAGATGTATACTAAGACCCCACTTGAGTAATTTAGTCTCTAGAAGAAAAGAGTATTTTTTCCATATTTATCTTGTAGTTGTCAGTTAGTTACTAGCTTCTTGCTTTTACTCTTACAAGTAATAAAACAATTTGGCTGGCTGGTTTAAAGGGATAATGAAAAGGACAGTAATTTTGGAACCTTGAATATGTACAAGATTAGGAATTGGCTGTGAGCTTTTGACAGTCTTAAACAGGAATATGTGGATGGCTGTAACATGCAGAAACAAAAGAGACTAGACTTAAACAACTTCATGTATAATTGTGAGTTGTTAGGATTCTCAGGTATAATGTTAATGCAATCCTGTCTGAACATTCACCTTCAGCTGTAAGTGTGTTTAGGGTAGTATATTCAACATAGGTCTATGTTTTAATACAGTGATTCTCTTTATTTTTCTCTGTCCCTTCACACTCATTCCCCCCCCCTTTTGTGGTCCCTTCTTACCTACCACCCCTCCTTTGATGCCAACATATGGTACTTCATGTCCATTTAGGATGTGGGCAGGCATACAGGCAGCTGTTGTCCAGAACTGATAGTATCGTTGTTTTGTGGATCAGCCCTTGAGATGCATTTAAGGGGTTTGATTGGCAGATTCTGTCCTTGAGAGTAAGCCCATCATCTCTGCAACAGGTTTAGCTGCCAAGCCTAGGAATCTAACCAAGTTCATTCCCAAGCGCAGGCCAGTCAATTGGCAACTTAAGAGATTTCAGTATGCCAAAGAACCTGCAGGTAGTAGTCTTATATTTTTTTACCCCAAATATCCCTTTATTTATAAATTAAGACTACATGAAGATATATATATATACATGTACAGCTTGAACTTAATGCAGGATTATTTCCATACAAAGTTAATTTAGAGCTAGTAGCTAAGATTTAGGTAGTTAAAATTTGTCAAGTGTCAGGCTCAATGCATTCCTCACAAAAATATTTGTAATGAAAATAAAAATAAATTTCATCATTTTTAAATATGTTTTTGTCAGGTTTACTTCATGTGTAGCCTTTTTTAACATCCTTAACGAGTTAAACGACTATGCAGGACAGCGAGAAGTAGTAGCAGAAGAAATGGCACACAGAGTTTATGGTGAATTAATGAGATATGCTCATGATCTGAAAACTGAAAGAAAAATGGTAATTATTGTTTTTATCCAGTTATAATATATCTGAAATATTTTCACTCAAATAAAATAATAACTTTGTTCTTTAAAATAATATATATTCTGTATAAACTAGTTTTCTATTTCACTGTATTGCTTCTAGCTAAAATTATCTCAAGATTATCTTGCTAATTAGTGATCCTTTTGGATCCAGGATGAAGGTTTGGTAAACTATATAAGCTAAATCTAGTCTACTACCTGTTTTTGTTCCTAGTTCTCATGTGCTAAGACTGTTTTTTTATATTTATATTTATTTTTAATATATTTTTATTGATTTCAGAGAGGAAGGGAAAGGGAGATAGAAAAATCAATGATGAGAGAGAATCATTGATTGGCTGCCTCCTGCAGGCCCCACATTGGTAATGAGCCCACAACCCAGGCATATTCCCTGACTGGGAATTGAACCGTGACCTCCTGGTTCATAGGTCGACCCTCAACTACTGAGTCATGCAGGCTGGGCAGTTTTTTACATTTTTAGATAATTGAAAAGAAAATCAAAAGAATAATATTTTATGACATGTGAAAATTACATGAAATTAAAATTTCAGTGCCTAATAGATAACGTTATTTTGGAACAGACTCACACTCATTTACTTATGTTTTGCCTTTGGCTGCTTTTGCATTACATTACAGAGTTGCAACAGAGACCACATGGCTTGCAAAGCCTAAAATATTTATATGACCCTTTATAGAAAACATTTGTCAGCCCCCACTCATGAAAGTCATGTATTTTCTTAGAGATTATATGTGTCTTAAGTTATATTTAAAATATTCAAATATTTTTCTATAAAATGTATTTTAGAGAGTTTTGCTTTACTAAAATTTCTTATTAAATTTTGATAAAGTTATATAATTAGAATCTTACAAAAATAAAGTGAAAAGCCTTTTTAAGACTTTAGACTTTATTTAAATGTAAGTTTTGTTTGTTTTGTGTTTTTGGTTGTTATGATCTTCAGCATCTCCAAGAGGGACGAAAAGCTCAACAGTATCTTGACATGTGCTGGAAACAGATGGATAATGTGAGTTATAGTGTTTCATGGTTAACATGAAATTTTGTAGAGTTGTTTAGCCCTAAATTTTCTTATGCCTTACATCTATTTAACTTTAATATTTCTCAATGTATTTTTCATAATTTGACATTGGTATAAATATAGACTGAGATCATTGTTTTTTTCTGTATGAGTTTATACTTGTACCATCCTATCTAATAAAGAGGGAATATGCTAATTGACCCTCATGCCATTGCAAAGATGGCGGCACCCACAGCCAATAAGGACGGAATGTGTTAATTGACTGTCCCGCCCTCAAAGATGGTGGCGCCCACAGTCAATAAGGAGGGAATATGCTAATTGACTCTCACGCCCTCAAAGATGGCGGCGCCCATAGCCACAAGGTTGCGGCACCCAGTCCCCTCAGCCTGCCTCCAGAGTCCCCCAGTCCCTTTAGCCCCTCAGCCGCCCAGGGCCAGCCTGAGGTGCAGGCAAGCCTTGGATGGCGACTGCCCAGCCACCCAGGGCCGGCCCAAGGCGTAGGCAAGCCTCGGATGTTGGCCACCCAAGGCTCAGGTAACCAGGGCCAGCCGAGGCTTGCGCTGCCGGCAGTGGCAGCAGCAGAGGTGTGATGGGGGCGTCGCCTTCCCCTGATGGCTGGGTCGCCTCCCGCCCCTGAGGGCTCCTGGACTGTGAGAGGGGGCAGGCTGGGCTGAGGGACCCCCCCCCCTCCAGTGCATGAATTTTCATGCACCGAGCCTCTAGTCTCTATAATATTGAGATAATTGTAAACATTAAGGAAGATTCTTTTTGACTTTGCAGTAGTTGCTATAAAATATTGTTATAAGATAGAAGTAATAGGGAAACAGTGATGTATCTTAGGAGACCATTTGACTGAGTCTGAGAGGACTTAGATTCTAGTTCTGTCTTTTACTGAGTACCTGATTTTTGTTGACTTCATATTTAGCATATGAAAAATGAAGAGCAGTCTTGCTTATATGAAACATTTCTTCCAATTCAGTGATTCTGTAATAATGTAAATGTTCCTAGTACTAGGCTGGCTTCTGTCATAGACCGTCTCGTTGTAGAAAATAAAGTACCCTGTAGGTAGGGCAAAATTGTAATAGCATAGTAATAATTTTCTTAAAAACTTTCCAAGGGTACTTGCTAATGTGTTTTTTTTAAAAATGTAGTCACTTGAAAAATAAGATGTCTACATGGAACATTGGTGTCTCCTTTCTCCTTTACTTAAAATGCTCTATCAAATGTTCTGTAGTATAAGATTAATATTCTTTTTGAGCCCTCAGATTAACAGTTTGCTCTTTGCCTGCATATTTTTATGATGGACACTATGTATTCCTTGAAAATTATGCTTGAGGGTTTTTCATGTTAAATTAAGCAATTTAGTTTGTGGTTGTTGGGAAAAGGACTTTTAAGTTTGAGGTTAAAAATAATTCATGCATTTATGCACTATTTTTAGCCTTTTTCCTTTAAAAAAATTTGTCTTAAAATTTTTAAATTTCAAAAAATTTCTACTATGTAACTGTCATTGATGTAATCAGTGCTAATTGAGAATTCTTAGGTATATTAATAGTCTGTATTTTTGTTTGGATCTTCTCTTTAATTGGTCTCAGCAAGACTTTTAGGGAGTGTTTACGTTTATTAAATTTTAAATTGCCTTAACTAACATCTTTGGTATCTTCCACCCAATGAGTGTATGTGAGTGTTTGTGTTTTCATCTGCACAAAAAATAGACTCCTACACTTATGAGTCATTGGTCCCTTTAAAAACTAGTGTTGGCTCAAATCATTCTTGTTAATATATACTGACTTGCCTTTAGAATAATTGGCAGTTATTAAGCAAAAGTTACGGGGTCATAAGAAAGAAGCGTCAAAAAATGTAGGAGAGATTTCTTTAAGGCATTAACAATACTATGAAATAAAGGTGAGTTCAGCTCAATTCATGTTTATTGAAGGCATCCTTGACATGTACTGGGTCTTGGAGGTACAAAAGTGAATATATGTGACATGGTTCTTGTTTTCGTGGAGCCTGCAGTCTAGTGAGGGAGGCAGACAACTATAATTTCTGTATATTACGTAGAAACATGCAGGATCCCAGTTCCTAGTTCCACGTCTTCTTGCTTGATCAAGAAAATGCAATTGTAAAATTCCTAACATGTTTGAAATAATGGAAGAGATTTAAAGAACTGGGAGAGACAGATTGACTTAGATACAGAGAATTGAAAATTGAACCCTCCCCCCCACAGCACTGGCATTTAGATTGGAGAGCATAAGAGCATGTGAAGATCTTCAAGGAATGATGAGATTAAGATAGAAACATTGGAGATGCCATGTCTGTCAGCTTAGGCAGTTCCAAGTAACAGATTTTACATGCTTGTAAGAAGAGGGCTCAAAAATGGAGCAGTTTCTGAGTTGTGTGACTCAGTGATGCCACAAAGGCTGTCCCTCCTTTCTTTCTGTTCACTTTGCCATCTTGACCATGTTGACTTTTTTTCCCGAGGCTTGTCCCTACTGTCAGCAGTTGACTTAGGCAGCCAAGCTCCACATCTTTATTCACTGCGTGCGGACACATGAACAAGAGAGCAGATCTTTTCCAACTGTCCCTTTTTATCAGGGAAGGAAGACTTTCCCAGAGAACCCTCAGCAGACTTCCTTATGGATGCTTTTGACAGGATTAGATTACTTGACCATACCCCCAGCTGTAGGGAAGCTGGTAAAGCAAGTATCAGCTATTTTTAGTTGATATATTGGGAGGTGGGCTCTTCTAACAAAGGATGGGGGTGGAAATGTGGTTGTTGATTAGTCTGCCACACATAGGATGAAGAATCGAGGATCTTTTCTGGAGTGTATTCCTATATTGTGTAAAGATATAGTATCTCTCAGGGAATGAAAATACTAAATATTGTATTAGTGACTCTTTTGCTATTGCAAGGAAATTAGTGTTTTCCCGTAAGTAATAAGACACCTAATATAAAAATACTTTTGTATATTAGTAGCCTCAAATTGCAACAAAATTAGTAGCCTATAGCTACTCAATTTGAAAACACAGCTCTGAATTAAGTTTCAGAGAATTAAATGTGGAAATTTAATCTTAATCTTCACAGGAAAGTGACATTCTATATATTATTCATATGCTTTGACTAAAAGTGTCCCATTTGATGGCTCATACTATCAAAACAGTGAGTACATTTGAAGAATCTTATAAAACATTTCAGAGCATATTTATTTGATGTAAAGTATAGGTATGTCTGGTTCTAGTATATAGTAAACTCAGCTAACTCTGAAGCCTTTGGCTACAGATACCTAGATATAATAGCTAAAATATTTTTATTGCTTTTAAAGCTCTTAGCAGAGTTTATTTTAAACTCATAACTGCTAGAAATTAAGGGTAAACTAAAAGCCAGAGCAATAGGTGTATGAAGTGATACAGTGAAATTTGAAAAAAGGTAGCAGAGGTGTTGGGATGTGGGTAAGTCCTTGGTAAGGACTTGGGTTTTAATTCTCACACAGGAGCAGATTAGATTTTAGTTCTGTATGTTGTGGGAGTTGGAACAGAAGCTCCTGTATAACAGTTGAAACTTTGAAGGACTAAGTCTGTAGTGAAAGGTGGAACTCTGCCCACTGGCCAAGGGAAACATCAGAGAAATTGTCTTTGTCGGAAGGTCAAAGGAGGGCAGACAGGCATCCTGTGAAAAATGGGAACCTTTTGACCTTGTGCTGAGGAGGTTTGGAATTCAAACTTGCACTTTTCGTATAGTTTCATAGTCCCCAAGACAAGAAATTGACATAGAAACTGTTCTAATAAGGGGTTTAGGTAAAGAAAATACTAACATCCTTTGCTTTCTTTTGAGCAATTCTCAGAATATAGGTAGCAAGGCATATATTTTTCCAGGCAAGAGATGAAAAGAGTCGTATCTGGGGAATCTAACCAGCTTGAGAGGAAAGATAGGAATACCAGTATTTCTCCCAGGAAACTGCCTGACCATATCACCCTGAGGAAAAGACCATGATCCACAGGCCCCACCTGTAGAGCTTTCAGTTGGCAGTTTAAACCAGAGCAGATAGGCAAGGATTCCCCAGACATTGAAAGAAAACATCTAATGTAAATACCAAAGACCAGAAAAAGCAACTTTGAAACAGTGATGATGAAAGGAAATAGGAATTAAAAAGCAAAATAAATAAGCAAGACACCCAAAACTATTAATATTCTCAATGGGAATAAAGATATTATATCCATGAAATAGGAAAAAGATACTATTTTAAAAGGAACATACAAAGAATATAAAAGAACATTATTATAGCAGAAATGAAAACATCACTTGAAACAATGAAAATAAAGAAATCTCCCAGGAAGTAGAGCAAAATGATAAATTGAAAGTATGAGCGAAAATATAAGAAAATAGGAGGACTCATTCTATAGGTTCATTTTCGAAATAATAAGTATCCTAAAAAAGGGGGAAAAAACCAGAAAATGGAAAGACAATAATAATTCCAGAAAATTTCCCCAGAACAGAGAGACATGAATTTCTAGATGAAAAGGATTATCCACTTCACAGCAAGACAGTATCTTCAGGATATTTCAGAACAGGTATGAGAGAGAAAAGATTCCCACCCATCTCCAAAGAGGAAAAATAAAGTAGATTTCAGGCAAAAGATCAGGAAGTAATGTGGAATAGTACTTTTCACATTTCTGCAGGAAGACAGTTTCCTACTCAAGAGTTCATTCTAGCCAAATTTTATCGATTAAAAGTAATATTAAAGAAATTTTCAGCCTTAGGGACTTAAAAAATTATCTCCCACAAACCTTCTTTTAGGATGCCACTGCTGAATGTGTTTCAGCAAAATAAGGAAGTGAATCAAGAAAGGGAAGAAGGTTTGGAACTTGGAAATAGGAGATTCAAATCAAGGAAGAGGTGAAAAGAATCTCCAGGACAATGGTGAAGGGAAATCCCAGGGTTACAGCTGTGCGGTAGGCCTGCTTTGGCAACCAGTCCAAATTTCAGCAGATCAAAAGACTCTGGGAGAGATTTCGTCAGGAAAATAAAATTGATAGAATTCTGATTGTGTTTGAATTAACTAAGCAGAGATTTCATGAACTGGGGAAACAAGGATTGAATAACAAAAAAGTACATCGAAACTGAGCAAATTTTTAAAAAGAAAACTAACTGTAGTATTTAAAGAAGTGTGCGGGAAAGGAAGTGCAGTTGTGAATAGCTTTTTTACAAAGTCAAGGGAGTTAGATACAAAATTTTAACAAAGCCTGGTTCTGGGCTGATGGCATTTCCTGGGACACCTGGAAGAAACTACGTAAAACCACTTGGGAGCGACATTTCCACATCTAAGCTACATTGAGATCTCACCAAAAAATAAAAATAAAAACAAGCAAACACCAAAACCAGGTCATCAAACAAACATACAAAACACGCAAAAAACACGAACCAAAAAGTTCTGCTGAAGATGAACTTATAATTAAAAATTATAAAATACATGATTTTTTTTCTTACTGAGAAGAGATGAGATATATATTAAGTCAGTCATGCCTATAATGTTTGATATTTAAGGCACTTAGGTTGATTATAATAGTAACATTTCTTTTCTAATTGAGACAAATTTTACTTACACTGTGCAGTTCTACACAATACACAATAGCATCATTTTAAAGTTTTCGTTTAATGGATAAATCTAATTTTATTTCTCACTGTGATATTTTGATTATTTTCACAGAGTAAAAGGAAATTTGAAAGAGAATGTAGAGAGGCAGAAAAGGCACAACAGAGTTATGAAAGATTGGATAATGATACTAATGCAACGAAGGCAGACGTTGAAAAGGTAAGAAATATTCCAAATTGACTTTGATATCAAAATATTACTTATTGCCCTAACCGGTTTGGCTCAGTGGATGCAGACTGAACGGTCCCAGGTTCGATTCCGGTCAAGGGCATGTACCTTGGCTGAGGGCACATCCCCAGTAGGGGGTGTGCAGGAGGCAGCTGATCGATGTTCCTCTCTCATCGATGTTTCTAACTCTCTATCCCTCTCCCTTCCTCTCTATAAAAAATCAATAAAATATATATAAAAAAATATTACTTACTTACATATCAAAAGTAGTTCCAGTATTGGCATTGGTATTAGAGTTTCCCCAAGAGATATACTGCATCTAAATCTAAAATATACAAATATTTGCATACTTTATACATATTGGTCTGAGAAATTAATTAATATGTGTTAACTTATTTTATTGTAATGTCTTAACTGCATTCAAAATGCATAGGGAAATCCTAGCTGCTACTGGGAAAGAGCTTCTGTTCTATTCCAAAATAGGATAGAAAGTCTAAGGCAGTGGTTCTCAACCTTCCTAATGCCGCGACCCTTTAATACAGTTCCTCATGTTGTGGTGACCCCCAACCATAAAATTATTTTCATTGCTACTTCATAACTGTAATTTTGCTACTCTTATGAATTGTAATGTAAATATCTGATATGCAGGATGTATTTTCATTGTTAAAAATTGAACATAATTAAAGCATAGTGATTAATCACAAAAACAATATGTAATTATATATGTGTTTTCCGATGGTCTTAGGCAACCCCTGTGAAAGGGTCGTTCGACCCCCAAAGGGGTCGCGATCCACAGGTTGAGAACCGCTGGTCTAAGGTGTGTTGATAGGGTGTTCAAATGGGGGTTACATAGTGTGCTTTCCCAACTTTACAGAGGGAAAACAGGATAAAGTTGTCAGATGTGATATTAGCTGTTTGTTTATTCACTCATTCATTAATGTTGGAAAATGGAACTCTCTCTTGTCACTTACTGATTCTGGGCCAGATGTTCCTGTAACATAATAATTGGCAGGATCACCCCGTAACTGCTGCTGCTTTTCCTTCTCCCCTGCTATATGCTCCTTATCTTAGAACATTTGACAAAAGTGATGCTGCTGAAATGTTGGGATTTTCAAATATAGATGAACCTTACTTTGCAGTTTTATATACACACAGACCCATCATTGCTATATTTTCTTCTTACAATTTCATAATTTCCTACAGGATCAGAACAAGAAAAAGTAGAAGGAAGAGAAGAATACAGTTGATCCTTGAACAACTCATTGTCAAGAATACACATATAACATTCAGATCCCCCAGAATTTAACTATTGATAGCCTGCTGTTACCAATAACATAAATAGTTGATTAATACATACTTGGTATGTTGTATGTACTATAAATCAGCGGTCGCCAACCTTTCAGACCGCACGGACCAGCAGTGGTCCGTGGACCACCGGTTGGCAACCACTGCTATAGATTGTATTCTTATAATAAAGTAAACTAGAGAAAAGAAAATGTTATTAAGATAATCATTAGGAAGAGAAAATACATTTGCAGTGTTTATTTTTTTAAATTCACGTATAAGTGGACCTGTTGAGTTCAAACCTGTGTTGTTCAAGGGCTGACTATAATTTATTTTCTGCCTTTCATTTTCTTTACATTAAAAAAAACCTAAGATTATATAAACTCTAAATTATAATTACCTTGAAGGTCTTCTTAAATAACTTGTAATGTTTATATCTTGTCTACCCTATTTTTAATTACTTATACCTCTAATGATAGTCCCTGTCATTGAAAATAATGGTCTTCAGATAGTCTATTTGATTTTTTTCAACTTGAACACTTCATTGTATTGACCCCACTTGTCTGACTGTTCAGTTTTAGTTTCCTTGAGGTACCCAAAATATCAAATTTATTTTTTCTTATAATAGCTTTCTAAATATTTGTAGCAGATTCTCTACCCATAGGTGAACTATTGTGTTTTTTCAACTATTCCACATGTGAAATAGCTTCAAATTATCTTTCATTGTGACTACTTTCCTTTGGATACTCTTGAATTCATACATATCCCACTTTAGTATGTTAGCTCAAGGTGGATATAATAATCCAGGTATGGTCAGATCAGTCCTGAATTCGATTACCTCTTTGTTTTGAACACTAAATTTATGTTAATTGTAGCCTAAATGTATATTGACTCTTTGGGCAACCACATTGTGTGGATTGACTCCCATTGAGTTTATGGTTCAATGAAATCCCCATGTCTTTTCATATATGGTGTGGTATGAGAATGTATATCTCTCTGTACTGTTGGTATTTTGAATTCATATGTACATCTGAATCAATTATTAGATTTGTCTGCTGTTAAGATTTTTGGATCCTGATTTTGATCATCTATTTTACTTTCCTTCTTAGCGTCGTCATACACATAATGTGTTATTATTACTTGATAAAAATGTGGACCACAACAGTTTAAACAACATTATTTATTTATTATTTATTTATTTATTAAATGATTCTTTATTCATAAACTTGATGCAAATTTATAAAATTTACTGTACATTGCCAAATCTGCAATGAAAAATAAACTCCAAATAAAAACACAAAGCATGCCAAATGTGCAGCTTAAATAACACTATTTACATGGGAGACTCCTTGCTGGTTGACACTGACTTCTTAAGAACTCCTTGACTTATTATCAAATACTGATTATCCTATACAGTAGGTCCTTGGGTTACGTCTGAGATCCGTTCCTACAGCGCGACGTAACGCGATTTTTGCCGTAAGTCGGAACCTACCTATATAAGCACCTACATCACTCACATGGAGTACATACACAGCAATAATGAAGTGAAACAGTAAAAAAGATTTAAATGAAAGATAACTGTTCCTGACCTTTATTTGTGGTAAATAAATAATTAAAAACATAAAACACTTATGTACATACGTCAAAATGACGGAACTTCCTTTTTTTATAAATACTGTAAATGGGAGATGGCGATGTACGTCAAGTCCAATGTAACCCAAGGACTGCCTGTATAATAAAAGGCTAATATGCAAATCGACCAAACAGTGGAACGACCAGTCGCTATGATGTGCACTGACCACCAGGGGACAGATGCTCAACGCTGGAGCTACCCCCTGGTGGTCAGTGCACTCGCACATGGGGAGCGCTGCTTAGCCAGAAGCCCTGAGCTGAGCTCACAATTGGCGAGCGCAGCGGTGGTGGTGGGAGCCTCTCCTGCCTCCACAGCAGCACTAAGGATGTCCAACTGATGGCTTAGGCCTGCTCCCTAGGGAGTGTGCCCAAGCTGTCAGTGGACATCCCCCAAGGCTCCCGGACTGCAAGAGGGTGCAGGCCGGGCTGAGGGACCCCTCCCCCAAGTGCACAAATTTCGTGCACCGGGCCTCTAGTTGAATACATAGTTTATGTACAAGGCACAGTTTGTATACTAGATAAATTAAGGAAACTCTTTAGCTGCACTCTCATTTAACTTATTTTTTTTTCTTCATTTTGTCTACAGAGATATCTTCAAAGACTGGTCAAACATCTTGAAATCTAGATATAACATGTCTAGTAGTTAGTTTGGCCTAACTTGTAGAATTTTAATGTTTACAGCTTCCTTTTTATTGCTCATTTGTTTGCAACTCCTTTAATTTTTAGAGAATTAGGAAAACTTTGAGGATTTGCTTTAGGAACTAGAGAGTAGAGCAGTTCTGCTATAAGTGAACAGGGAGGGGAGGGAACATAGTTTTTAGCAACTACTGATAAAAGCTTAAAAAAAGAAATGGTGAAGAGGGAGCAGCTTAATTACTGATCTTTCTAAAGAAAAGGAAGCTAGTTGCACAACAATGTGAACATATATAAACTTCTGAACTATACATTTAAAAATAATTAAGATGGTAAATTTTTAAAAATATATTTTATTGATTTTTTACAGAGAGGAAGGGAGAGGGGGATAGCGAGTTAGAAACATCAATCAGCTGCCTCCTGCACACCCCCTACTGGGGATGTGCCCACAACCAAGGTACATGTCCTTGACCGGAATCGAACCTGGGACCCTTCAGTCCATAGGCTGACACTCTATCCACTGAGCCAAACCGGTTAGGGCCGTGGTCGGCAAACCGCGGCTCGCGAGCCACATGCGGTTCTTTGGCCCCTTGAGTGTGGCTCTTCCACAAAATACCACGTGCGGGAACGCATGTACAGTGTGATCGAAACTTCGTGGCCCATGCGCAGAAGTCGGTATTTTGTGAAAGAGCCGGTATTTTGTGGAAGAGTCACACTCAAGGGGCCAAAGAGCCGCATGTGGCTCTCAAGCCGCGGTTTGCTGAGCCGCAGTTTGCCGACCACTGGGTTAGGGCAAGATGGTAAATTTTGTTATATATATATATTTTACCACAATTAAAATAAAAAATAAATGCAATAATAAAAAAAGAAAGGAGAGGCAATAAATGTGAAGTCCAGAATATACCAGGGGAGGCTTCAATTATTTTAGCTTCTAGCCTTGTATTCCTAAATACTCCGCTGCAACCTTTGCCCCCAGCTTTAGGGATCACAACCAGTGACTTGGAGCAAAAGGAGTTTCCCCTGACAACCATTATGAATAGGGAGTCATTTGGGGAAGGGGAAAAATAGAAAGGAATGAATAAATGTGTGTACTTAGGGTCCCAGGTTGGAACTTCAAATGCATTTTTCTCTAGAAGTACTTTGGACCATGGTGTTTAGTTTCCATAGTAGTTATTTATTGTAAGTTTTAAGTCCACTGTGGATTAAATGGGCTTTTTAAGTGGGCTTACCGGAGATCTTGGCTACCACATATTTCCACATAGGTCAGTATGTTTCTGAGTTGAGAACTAACTTGTGGACCTATTATTAGAGGTCAGGGTCTACGTTTGTAGAGACTGGAATTAGAATAATGAAATGTATTTACAATGTGCTTTACAATTTTCAAAACACTGAAAAATTTTATTCAATTCTTATTTTGTTTTGTTTTTAATCTCTTTACAACAGTTGAGATTTGTTTAGATTCCCTTCTAATATATCTGAAATTAATGATTTGTGTTAAGTTTGTAGTCTAACATTCTCACCACTGTCAATGATACTAAAATGACCCATTGGAAAAACATTTCTACAATAGCTGAAAATGAACAGAACTCTTTTCTAAATAAGCATTTCTTAAAGTGCCTGCAGTTACGTATAGAGATGAAAATCATTGTTGACATTTACTTTATCCAAAATCATGTTCTTATCATTTTGGTTTTATGGTGGTTCTGAGTTGGTTGTAAGTGTATCACATTTAAAGAAATGTTTTACTACTAACTTTTTAACTGTTTTAAAATATTCCTGATGCTGCTTTTCTCCTCTGATTAAAAGCTTAATGTTTCAAGCCATAATGTTTTCAAATATTTATTTTTAACAATCTCAGTTCGGTAAGGGGAAACTTTGATTGGATTATCGCAAGGGGGAGTACTCTTGCACTAGACAGCGGTTCTCAACCTGTGAGTCACGACCCCTTTGGTGGTCGAACGACCCTTTCACAGGGGTCACCTAAGACCATCCTGCATATCAGATATTTACATTACGATTCATAACAGTAGCAACATTACAGTTATGAAGTAGCAACGAAAATAATTTTATGGTTGGATCACAACATGAGGAACTGTACTTAAAGGGCAGGAAGGTTGAGAACCACTGCACTAGGAGAAAGGGAATATTGTCATAGGGAGACTGTTCTGGCTATAAGATCTGCAAACATCTCCTTAAATTTTAAATGATATCAGTAGAGAAAATCTAGTTTTAGTATAACTTTTACAAAACTGTGTTAGCTCTTTAGTTCATTGGAATTGTATATTGTAATGTGCTCACCTAGGATTGGGATGTGGCTTTTGACACTGTACCAGAATCATTGGCATTGTCAAGGTGGCATTGATTTTGTTCTTGTTGATAATGATTTGGACCAATTTGCTTCTAGGCCAAACAGCAGTTGAATCTGCGGACGCATATGGCTGATGAAAATAAAAATGAATACGCTGCACAGTTACAAAACTTTAATGGAGAACAACACAAACATTTTTACGTAGTGATTCCTCAGATTTACAAGGTAAACTTTAAATATATGAAGTTAATCTAGTTTTAGCATTGGAATAGTTACTCTTTAAATGTAAAACTTGAATTTCAGGCATCAATCAGTTTTTCTAGATTCATTAGTCATCAAGATAGGTAGTAAGAAATTATTATTATGGTTTTGAAAACTAAATATATCCTAACTTTGAAATGATAAGTTTTCCTATAGATTTATTATTAGTGCAATAAACAGTCCACTAAAACAATGGCACTTTCTAAATAAATTTGAATGCTATATTATTAAGCATTATGACATAGGGGGAATTCATTGGAATTGTATATTGTAATCTGCTCACCTAGAATTGGGATGTAGCTTTGTGAAACTCTATCAGAATCATTGGCATTAGTCCAGGTGTCAGAAATAAATCTTATAAAATGTGTTTGCTAGCCTGATTTTTGCCTGCTTGTCTTCCTACCTGCCAGATCATAAATGTAATTTAGGCATGAGCTTGCCTACAAATCCCATCCATCATCACTTGATAATGGCAGTTGCCAAACAGCCTCAGGTAAAGACCACAGAATTTCCATGAAGGTTAAATTGTTACTATCTATTCTAGAAAGAAGAGAAATTAGAGAAAAGGAATTTAGTGAAAGTGTTGAAAGAAGTTGGATCTAGGAGGAGCAGAGCGTATGTGGGAAGAATGTCAGCTCAAATGTACTTTTTGTCTTTGTAAGGCAAGTTAGAGGTACAAGTGAAGCATAGAGAGAGGAGGTGGACTAGAGTGGGTATCAGATTCCGGTCATTTAATCTCGGGTATCTGTCCTGCCACTCCTCACTCTGTGGTGCTTTTCTAGGCTTATTAGCCAAGCCTTTATATTCTTAGGAGACCTTAACGTGGAGACCACCTACTATTTGTATTTTGGGATGTGGTCCTTTTGTTTAGACCTTGCTATGGAGCAGTCTAGCCATTTTGTGACAGCGGGAACAGTTTTTTTTGTGTGTGAAATTGCAGGTCTCAAAATAAATTCCTAGGCTTTAGCACATAATTAAAGAGGAAAAGTTATATGAAGGCTATTGGAGTTTTGGGATTTGATCAGTGTAGCTGTTTCCTAGGAGAAAGAAAGGTCAATATTGGCAAATAGGAAGTGCCAAAAAAATGTCTCTTAAATTGTTTGGCTTCATATGTACCAGCATAATTCTTAGTGGCATGTGCCAATGAATTTTTGAATTGTGAGAATCCCTTATATGTACCTGTGGCTGTCTGTTTTCCCTCTTGTGCCCCCAACCCTCAGAGTGACAATACTCTGAGCTGTAGACTGTGATAGATCTGCGTACCTATTGGTATGCAGTCAACTGTAAATCCTTGGTCTAGCCAGATCTTACCAAAGTATTCTGAACTAACCTAAGGGTTAGAAGTCTCAGATTTCTGTATGTCATAGGCTAATTGCTTAAAAAGAAAAAAAGAACGATCAAAATTCTGTCTTCAAATAAAACTTTTCCTGAAGTATTAACAGCATCTAAAGCAGTGGTTCTCAATCTTCCTAATGCCGCGACCCTTTAATACAGTTCCTCATGTTGTGCTGACCCCCAATTTCATTGTTACAATTTGAACATAATTAAAGCATAGTGATTAATCACAAAAACAATATGTAATTATATATGTGTTTTCCGATGGTCTTAGGCGACCCCTGTGAAAGGGTCGTTTGCCCCCCCAAAGGGGTCGCGACCCACAGGTTGAGAACCGCTGATCTACAGGAAAGAAAGGTGGAGGCAGTATGAATCAAGTATGAGAAAGGTGGGTAGGCTGTAGGGATATCTTTAGACCAGCAGTCACCAACCAGTGGTCTGTGGACCACTGGTGGTCCGTGAGGTCCAAAAGGTTGGCAACCACTGCTTTAGATGGTTTGAAAACCAGTGTTACCTGGTTTTTATTTCTTTTGCTATTTAACAGGCCTCAAGTTTTAAGTATTAAAAGTTGATAGCACTTGTTAAAATGCATTAAAAACAGTATAACTATTAAGGTAGAACTTCAAATTTTTTTTTTTTTTGAGGAGGGTGGGTTGCTTCAGAATGAAGAAAAAGATGTTTTCCTTTTTTTATTTCTGATTATTAGCAACTACAGGAAATGGATGAACGAAGGACTATTAAACTCAGTGAGTGTTACAGAGGATTTGCAGACTCAGAACGCAAAGTTATTCCTATCATTTCAAAATGTTTGGAAGGAATGGTTCTTGCAGCAAAATCAGTTGATGAAAGAAGAGTAAGTGCTATATAATTATATTTGAATTATGTATTTGGTTTAGGTGTGTGGTTTAAGTTAGTAAAATGAATTGGAAAAGGGGTGAAGAAATTGGTAGTAGTTGATTCTAAATTATATTCTGTAGAAGAAAGTCTGGCAATAGATTGGACTCGTTTGGACTCCAAGGACCATTATAAATACTAAAATTCAAATTGTTTCAAAGGGAGTTCTAACCCTTCCCTCTCCTGCCCCCACTAATTTTTCAGTTATACTGCAAGAGTGTAATCAAGCTGTGACCATGTTATAATACTATATTAAACTATTATTTTAGTTCAGTGGTCGGCAAACTCATTAGTTAACAGAGCCAAATATCAACAGTACAATGATTGAAATTTCTTTTGAGAGCCAAATTTTTTTAACTTAAACTATATAGGTAGGTACATTGTTATTAACTTAATTAGGGTACTCCTAAACTGGCCTTTGCTAAAAACGTCCTCAATCTGATTGAGGTACGTTCGCTGAGGTCGACCCCTTCCAACTCTCCCATCCACACTCGTCTTGTATACTTGTTTCGTCTATCTCCTTTCGTTCATCCTCTCTATATGTCCAGACCATCTCAACATACCTTTCTCAATCCTCGACACTACATCTTCTTTCACTCCATAACGTTCCCTAAAATTAACTTAATAAATTTTACTTAAAGTTTTAAGTCAACTTCGCACTGTACGTGCGCACCCCCATGTGGTATTTTGTGGCTTGTGAGTCGCGGTTTGCCGACCACTGGTTTAGTTACAGGTTAGAGTAGGAGATGCTCACTGAGATCTAGAGTCGTAAGAGTTGCTTTTAACACAAGAGTTGGCACTTGAACTGGATTTGAAGTGTGGGTAGTGTATGGAATGGCCTTTATTGCAAAGGCCCATGAAAAAGAGGAAGTAGGGCATTATGAGTAGAAGGAACAGCATAGTCCTGTTCCCCTTGAGGAAATATATCTAATCACATTATTTTTTTATTAAAGTCTAGCAGAGTATTGTACCTGGTAATTTCTCAGTAAATGTTGATTGAATGACCAAAAGGATAATTGGCAGAAACTGAAGATACGTATCACATAGTATTTTAGTCTTCACAACAACTTGTATTGTATTAGAGAGAATCCTTCCTGTAACAATTAGAATTCTGACTATAATTTTTAAAAGAATAGAAGATTTTGGGTTTTTTTAATTGGGAATTCAGAGGTACATTTGTATATTGGCATGGCTGGATCCAAGTTACAAATATAGTGAGGTCCCTCCTCTATCACTCTTCTTACCCTTTAGCAAATGATTGGTGGGGGTGGCATTAGTGACAAAATTAAGGTATCACTTAAGGATGACTTTTGACTACATGACTGGCAAAATGTACTATTAACAGAAATCCCATATAATAAAAGGCTAATATGCAAATTGTACCCTCAACTGGGAGTTGATCCAAGAGTTTGACCAGGAGGTGGGGCTGCCCAACTGCCCGTGGCTCCACCCCCTGGCCAGCCATGCCCCCCATCCGCCCCCACAACCCCGATCGGGGGTGGGGCTGGCCTGCCAACCACTTGTGGCCCCTCTCCCCAGCCACAGCCCCTCTCCCCAGCCAGCCTGGCCTGATCAGCCTCGATCGGAGCAGCCTGGCTGGACCCCCCCATCTGTGCACGAATTTGTGCACCGGGCCTCTAGTAGGGAATAAAAGAAGAGGTGGTTAGGGTGGGTAGGAGTTTATAGGATTAAAGTATTCTGTTTGAAAAAATGAGTTTAAGATGTCATTAGAATATTTGGATAGAGTATGTATGTCCAAAATTACAATATATTACTTATGCAAGTTTTAAAATTTTAGTTAAATGGTACTGAACTTTATATTTTCAAAGTTGCTTTTTGCACTCAGTACTGTTTGTGAGATCTTTTTCCGTTGCTCTATTAACATTCCTGAGTATGTATTTAATATATTTTATTTATCCTTTCCCCATTGGATGAATGAAAGCTTTTCTACTTGTCTCTTACTTTCTTTTATGATTAGATGCCCTTTTATCTCTTCCAAAGGTCAACTTCTTCATAGACATCTCAAAGCAAAAGGCCTTCTTTCTTTGAAACTTCTTGTAATTTCTACTTGGGAATAACCTTTTCTATATTCCTTTCTTTCAGTTAGACCTTTCTTATCAGCTAACTAGTCCTCAGATGAATTTCAGTAGGGTAAAGCTATGGAATGAAAACATTCATGAATATTACAAATTAAGAAAGTGGTAATTTGTTTGTAAATTAGCATTGTTTTCTGTTGGGATTAAAATAGGGTTTATTGCAAAGTCACAGGAAGAAATTATTTACTTTAACCCTTAGATGCTTACTGTAGAATTATTTCTTTAAATTTTTTCTTTTTTCTTTAATGAATTAAAGTTTTGAAAGCTAATGTGGTATTATGAACAAATGGAATGGTTTTTAAACATGTTTCTTGTGTATAGGACTCTCAAATGGTAGTAGACTCCTTCAAGTCTGGATTTGAACCTCCAGGAGACTTTCCATTTGAAGATTACAGTCAGCATATTTATAGAACCATTTCTGATGGGACTATCAGTGCATCCAAACAGGAAAGTGGGAAGGTGGATGCCAAAACCACAGTAGGAAAGGCCAAGGGCAAGTTGTGGCTCTTTGGAAAGAAGCCAAAGGTAAAAGTCATAAAGTTTCTTTATGCTAATAATTTTGTTTTAGTGTGTCATTTAAATGAATGTAGGTATCAAATGGATAATGGTTTAATATTAATAGAAAATTAATATGTTGAATGATTCAGTTATTTTTCACTTATTAGAAACATAGTTTTATTCTTTCATAGTAAAAATTATTTTTAGATTTAACATTTGACCACCACTTAATAATGAATAAAATAATTTGTTAAATGTCTCTTAATTATATGCTTTTGAAATTTCATTTGTGTATAGTTTCAACCAAAATTTTTAAGGAAACATTATGATCTAATTATATAAACACTAAAATTGCAGTTTTCAATTGGAATGAATGATTGACCACAGTAATAATAAATACCAAATTAGGACTTCTAATAATGTTTTTTTTTATCATCCATGTGAATATTTAATGGGAAGGGCTCAACGTTTGTGGTTATTTGAAGTTTAAAAAAATCTATAATTTACTAAGAAAATCTCACTCTTCTTGTTGGAACCTGTCTTTTGATATGTTGTTTATTTTAGATAGATAAATCTAGCTAAGCAGGTGAGCAAATGGAATAGAGGAGAGCTTAGTCTTTCTTAACAATTTAGTGATTATAATAGTATTATATCAGGAAAATAGATAATGTACTTTTAATCTATGTCTGTATTTATTAAAGGACACATCATTATTTTAATACATTTTTCTGATTTTGACATGAATGTAGATAAAATTATAATATATGTGTATATTTAAAATCACAATTATAGTTAGCTAAAGCTTTATTCATGCTTTTAATAATATTATCCAGTCAAGAAGTTAAGAGTGACTTTGTCAGATCAGAGTAGCTAAGAGAGCTTAGATAAATAAGGAATACTGAAATTAAAAGAAAAATAAGGATGAAATAGAAATAGTCTGAAAAGAAAGCCACAAATGTAATGAAATTTTTTTGCCTATTTGTGATAATAGTTACAGTTTTAACATTTTAATATATTTTTTAATAGACATCACCTATTATAGATAACTTTTACTGTCGCTGCTGCCTTTATTGCTGACAGCTACAGGTTAAGTAAAGGTAGTGCTAATATTCTAGAAATCAGAAGACAGTTTTAAAAATCTAGGTCACATTGCTCTAACATTACAATTTGCGTACTCTATATTTCTAATCTGTCAGTTTGTAAAAAAATGATAAAATGAAATGGTACATTTTTAAAAGTAAATTTTACTTTTTAAAATGATAGTTTTGGCAAAACTATGTTAACTTTCTTATAATATTTTTATAGAAAGCTTTATTTGAGATATATTTTGTGAAAAGTATGTTGCCAAAAATAGAATTTTCATTTAGAAAAAAACTATGCACATTTGGCTTATTGATTCCTTTCTTTATTTCCATATTAGCCACAGTCCCCACCCTTAACCCCTACTAGTTTATTCACATCCAGTACTCCTAATGGGTCCCAGTTTCTCACATTCTCCATTGAGCCCGTGCATTATTGTATGAATGAAATAAAAACAGGGAAGCCCAGAATTCCTTCTTTCAGAAGTCTCAAAAGAGGGGTAAGTTTAATAATGGGTTAAAATGCATGATGGCCTATTGTGTGTGTAGTGTGGCTTTTAATACTCTCCACCCTCATTATAAGGCTCTCTCTCCTATAAATATGTAGTTTAAAAACACCACAGAATTAAGTATAGCTGCCCTCAAGTTAAAAATAACTCCTCTTTATAACATTTGAAATGCTCAACCATAAAAGAATGGTATTATAAAGAGGGTGCTGGGTACAGTCATATTAGCTATTTTTTGTTTATGTGAAATCATATGTCCACCATTGTCTTGTAATGTATTGACATTTTTAAGACTTTCAGTAATTTGTCACTGGAGTTACTCATGTAATAATTTGTCACTAATGATGACTTCTGCCAATTTATAAAGCATTATTTTGTTGACAAAAAATCAAGTTCAATTTTAATTGCCCTACTTTTTGAAACATAAAATACAATTTATAATAGTTAAAAAAGTTAAAGATAAACATGTTAAATATCAAGATTGTAGATAAAATTAAGATAATATATTAGAAGATAGTTTGTAAATTGTAAAACCTATAAAAATAGTAGATATTATTGAGTAATGTTTACATAAATTTGTTAAACTAAAAAAAAGTAAGGTTTTTTTTTCCCCCCCAGAATTTTTTCTTTTTAAAAGTTGGGCAGCCTTTGGCATTTACTTATAACTAAAGATGCTCTGCAAATGAGAAAATTTAGAATAGTAAAAAGCAAATATTAAACTGTTTCTTAGCAACAACCGTTATACTGCTGATAAATAAATTAGTTATTCCATTTTGTTAGACTACTTTTTCTTGTTTATGTTTGATTTTAAGGCTATATTTATAATAGTCATAGCTCATAATTTATATACATTTATGAGATTTGTTTACAGATATGAAAACCAAAGGTGTGATAACCCATAGAGTCTGTGTCATATGAAGTCTAATCATTCATTAACAGGAATATACTGTAGTTGGGTTCCCTCTTGCTAGTGCTCTCTCTCTCCCCTCCCTATTCCCCTCTTCCTTTCCACCTGCCTTTTCTCTCATTTCTTTCTTTTCTTCTCTTTCTGTCCCTGTTTAGCCTGTCTGTCTTTTTTCTTACTTTTTGCAGTCCTTTCTATCTTCAAATTGCTTTAGTTCATTTCCGTTTTTGCCAGTGTAGAACATAATAATTTAGGGCATGATCGCATTATTATCTACATTCCCCACAAAACAGTAATGTCAGTAATGCAGCAGAAATGTCTTAGTGTATTATGTCCCTTTTTGGACTTCCCTTTTTCCTATAATGAAACCAAGTTTTTTACATCTACCTTACCTAATTCTGTATGTGGATGATATTATAGGTAATTAATGACATTTTGAAAAGTCCCTGTGAATGAGTGTGCATTATACCTATAGGCAATATGCAATAAGCAATGGAAATCATATTTGGGATTTCTGTTGCCTGAATTTGAGGGTAGAATTAATTCCTATTTTTCTTCTCTATGATAATTGAGACTACATTAAATATTGCCTGAATTTGAGGGTAGAATTAATTCCTATCTTTTCTATGATGATTGATAATACATTAAATATTGTTACATAAGTCATGAGAAATTACTATTTAGTAGCCATATTTTTGTGTAACTGTTTATGTATCCTACACATTGAGTCTACCAAGCCCAATTATAGTACACTACACAGTATAGTCATGGAATATGAAGTAACTGCACTTCTATAAAAAAAAGTTTAGGCACTTAGTACTGTGAGCCCTAGAGAGAGAAGCTTAAATATGTGACATATTCATTCTTATTGGAAAAATTTATGGTTAAATTTTATTACTATAGAACTTAAAAGTATCTGCTTGGTCACCATCTTATTTCCACATATTGCTTTAATTTTAAATATAAGTATATTGTTTTTTTGGAGGGCCTAGTTCCAGAAAGCCAAAATTCTCCCACCTTTTAATTATTCATCATGGCAAAGAAAGAAGCGGTATACAAGATAGAAAATATGACAGACAAATCTATTAGGGGATTATAGGAGACAGGAGGAAGGAAAGTTCAATTCAGCCTTGCTGTTGAGAAATTGCTTTCTTTTTGATTGGTTACATATATTTCAAAAGTAATCCATAGAGATGTTTTCCTTCCATTTCTCTAAATAGAAAAATAAAAAAAGATAAACTTTAAGAAGCCACGTTTTGTGTTTTTACATAGATTTACATGCAAGTTTGTTAAACTTACAAAGTAGGTCTTAAGGTTTTTTCCCCCAGGTTTTTTAAAATATATTTTTTATTTATTTCAGAGTGGAAGGGAGAGGGAGAGATAGAAACATCAATGATGACAAAGAATCATTGATTGGCTTCTTCCTGTAGGACCCCTACTGGGGATCGAGCCCACAACCTGGGCATATGCCCTGATGGGGTATGTAACCGTCTCCTGGTTCATAGTTCAGTGCTCAAACCACTGAGGAACACCAGCCAGGCTTCCCAGTTTTGTTGAGAAACAGTTGACATACATCAGTGTATAAATTTAGGGTATGCAGCATGATGGTTTGACTAACATATATTGTGAAATGATAACCACAATAGGTTTAATTAACATTTATCATCACATGTAAACACAATAAAAAGAAAGAAAAAATGATTTCTCCTTGCAATGACAACTCTTAGGATACACAACAATTTTCCTATGTGTTCTATGGAAGAGAACTCCTACTCTTTATACTAAATCACTTGTAGGCACTTTTTACATTTCCACTAAAGTAGCCAGCCAAGTAAATTTAATCCCCAGTTTATATAAAAACAGAATATTTTTTAGTCATCATTTTTTCCAGTTTTGAGAAATAATTGATGTACATCTCTGTATAAGTTTAAGATGTACAACATGGTGGTTTGATCTACATATATTGTGAAATGATTTAAGTTTCCTTAAAACTGATAAATTGTACCAATTCAAATTAGAAACTTATGTCAAGCTATATTTCTTATATCATTTTTCCTAAATACCCACATTTTGACTTTCTAAAAATGTATAATTTATTTTTCTTAAAGAAAACCTAGTATGCACAGTTTCTAGTATATTTAAGGATATGAGAAATGTTATATTGGATCAGTGTTTTTTAATTTGACCATATGTAGACCTTTTCTGAGGGTCTATAATTTCCTTCAAAATCTAACCATTAATGGATATTTGGTGTGCTAAAGTTAACTACTTAATTTAGAAATGAATAATTTTTTCTCTATATCTACTTCATTTGAGCTTACTGGGTACTCTTTTTTGGGGGGTTGGGGGGGTAGATTGATCTAGCAATAGCAAGTCCATGTTTTCTGTCTAAGTTATTTAGGATCTTATAAACTTCTAAAGTAATTTTTGTAAGCTTTTTATCTATCCAGAGTACAGTTCTCAGAATTTCTTTGTCTTTAAATGAAATACATCTAATAATATTAATTGCCTGATTTCTTTTTATAGCTCCCTTGTATA